TTTGTTTTATTTTTCATTTGTTTGAGATTGAATTACTGAAGGAAAAAGAGAGCTTTAGAGTTGTTTTGATGCTAAATGATAGATATTAAATACTTTCCATTAAACTGATCCTTTTAAGTTTTATAAACTTTCTATTTTTTTCATTGTGAAGCTACTCAAGAATTAAATATACGAAAGCTTCTTGGGAAAATAAAATTATAGCAAGATGAAGGTATTTACTATTAATTTCTTGTTCTTCCATTAGAAAAACTTGATGCTTTTTAGCGAAGACTGATGGAACTTCGTTTTGTAGAGCTTTAGTCAGGAATACTTAACATGAATACAGTCAAATGCTTTGATAAATATAATATTTTTAATTCATACTTTCGTCGTCGATTGTACGATCTCCTTTAAATCGTGCTTGATGCTGTCTCTATCGCTGTCTACTTGCCACTTACCATTGCCAAATGCAATCCTGTCTCTGTCAGCAGCTAATTCCAGGGACGCCCACGTGATCACTTACCATCAACATTAATCCTCTATCAATATGAGCAAATTTTATTTCCGTGCTTTCAAAAAATATCTCAGCATTTATTATCATCCACTTAATGGTCTTCCCACCTGCTTTCGAGGTGCACTTAACAATGAGAATCATTTCAAGACAAAATCTCAATGTGACGACTCATCACGAGTGAAAATGGAAGCTATTAATAATAAACAGCAAGAAAAAATAAACTTTAGAATGAGCGTCCATTGTGAGATACACAAAAATCTTCTCAGTTATATCCCATCATCTAAATAATGACAAAGAAAAATTTTTTTTATTCAAATGCTTTTAAGCATGGAAATAAAAGGAACATTTTGTATGTATGAAGGAATAAATGAAATAAATATAAGTGAATAAGTAGGTCATGATACAAAGGAAGAGGATGAAAGATAAAAGCATAAGCAAGAATGGGTTTTTTTATCATCACAAAGCTATCACATTGTACAGTTCAGTCGACAATTACGTGCTTTTTAACATCGAACACACAAATACATCCGATTTACTGTTTTTGTTTCCATGGCTTTATTATAAAACCGATATGGATATGATTCATTTACAAGGACGTCGACAATTTTATCTCATTCAGTTATTGATTACATATGATGAGGATGTGACTCTTGTAGACGCTTTGTCTATTTGTCAGTAATCGAGTTAGTATAGCTTTATTGACAAAGATCGATAGATTTTAGAAGAAGTGGATGTAGACAATGACTTTTGTAGTTTTATGCATGTGTACCTTTATTATTGAATTATTTTGTCTTAAATATTGTAATATTTTCTTATCAGAAGCTGCAAAGTTCTTCGATTTCCAGTAATTTGACTTAGTTTTCAGCTTTTTCGATTCATGGAACCTACTTAGTTCTATTCTAGTGATTCCCTTCGTATCTGCACTCCTGCTATTCAGTATTGGAATTAAAAAGAGAGCTTTAATTAAAATTAATACCAAGAATAGAGTCAAGTTCATGAATGTACTCAAATTTCTCAATAATAGCGGCTATTTCATTTCCAAGAAAGTTTTAATTGCCCTTAAAAAACAAAAGCACAAACTTTGCTAATTAGTTGATACATGTCAGTAGATAAGACAGTATAGAATTTACGATCAGTCATCATCATATCAAATTTAATTGTGTGACTTTATATACTAGGAATAATTAGAAGTTCATTCGCTTATGATGTACCTACTAAGTCAGGGGCGTAGCCAGGGAAAGTAGGAGGGGGGGGGGGGGGGGGGGGGGGCATAGGGGGCCCGACCCCCCCCCCCCCCCCTACGAAAATCTGATAATTGTTTTATTAAGTATTTAGAGAAGAACCAGTTAATGTAGAGGAAGTGATGAAAGAAATGTCAAAATCAGCACGAAAAATTAAATTTGATGTATGATTAATGAATTAAATATTTAAACTTATGAATAATGAATATAGATTTAAGGATACAAAATAACGGTTTTTTAATTTTCGAAAATGCCCCCCCCCCCCCTTAAAAATTTTCTGGCTACGCCCCTGTACTAAGTAGATGGTTGTTTTTTTCATGAGCATTATGTGAAATGATTGACATCATTTCTGAATTACCCCCTTTATCATTTCCTCGAAAAAACTGCGCCCAATTAGTTGCGTGTGCCATAATTACATCCAACTCATTTTCGCCTTTGTTCCAATTTTATTGGTTAAATTTGCTGTAAAGCTATCTCAATTGGACGTATCTATTGACGATCACGGAATGAAAAAAAAATATTCATTTTATTGTCCTGGCGTAACATAATACGAATCATGTTAATCTCGACATGAAATCAGTATATTCATTCTAAAGAGCGGAAGAAAAAAGCTCATGGCATATGTATGAAAAAAAGCCTTTTGAAAAGCGGCAACAAACAGAAAGAGAGGATAGAAAGGGAAACTACAAAAACAATAATATGACAAGTATGGTTTAAGGACAAAACGTGACTGGAATCTCCTTTTTCATCATGCTTTTGTGAAATTTTTCATTTTTCCTTTTATTCATGGCATTATTTAGGATAATTGGTTTATTTGTCTGGCTGTAAGAGGAACTGAACTTACTGTATAAACACATATACACATTTATATGGTAATTTTTCATGTCGCATCTCATTTCGTCTTTTACTTGAGCATTAATTCCAATTTTATTTGGATGAAAAAAAAGTAAAATAATAAAACAAAAGCTGTGCCTTGTTACAATTCAGAATCAATTATTGAAACATGACGACTTCCGTAAGCTCAAATGTTAATTGGCTTTCACTGATTTATTTTCTCATATTGCAATATGCTACAACTGAAATGGAATTCCATTGAGGGGAAATTAATGGAAATCCAAAAAGTTTTTACAGAGTTAATGAGTTTATTATTTTGTGGGAATTAAAGGTGGATCTGAGAGCTTAAAGGTTTTAACCTTTATACTGGAACTCAATTTTAACGGTTTTTACCGGTTCCCAAAAAATCAAATTCCCAGAGGTTCAAAAATTCAAATTTCAATGGTTTTTAAGAATTCATATTTCAACGGTCTTTTCAAATTCAAATTCCGTTTTGTAATAATTAAGCCGAAATCGTCCTTAATTGAATGTTTAAGCTAAAATTCAACTCCATTCCAAATTTTATTTCTTTAAGACAACTGGAAAAATTTCAAAGATTAAGCTCTGAACTCAAGATTCATTAATAATCCTCAAAAAAAGCACATAACCATGTTTTTTAATAACTTGACAAAAACTTAAAAGCTTTTTCGAATCCCTCTCGTATCCACTTAACAAAATAAAATTGGATAAAAATTTAATGTGTTTTTGTTTTTTGCTCTCAAGTGTAAAGCTTAATACGACATGTGCAGGTAAAATGTTTTGACATTTAAAACTTTACAATGCCAGGAGAATAAAACCTTGCTCTAATTTATTAATGACTTTTTAAGTGCTAGATTGTGGCGAAGAATGTTTCTTAGAAATTTAATTTATTGAGAGGTGAACTTTTTACTGTTCTCTTGTTGTTATAGATGGATTATGGATTGATTGAGATTTTTAAAAATTTAACAGTTTTTTTAAATTTGAATTTGGTTTTAAAAAATCAGATTTTTGAAAATTTAACGACCTTTTTAAATTAAAAAACTTCGAATAAAAACCAAATAATTCAAAAAAATTGTAACCTTAGTTTAGGTTATAAAGCTTTTTAATCCTCAAAACATAAGCTTTAATCAATAAAAAATTAAAACTCTCGAAAAATTCCTATAAAATTAAAAATCAAACTATGAATAAACTTTCTACAGCAACTTAATCTGTAATAAAATTCTATACGCATTAATTCTCAACCATTCAAGTTTCAAAAAGTTCTCAACATCGATTCATAAATTCTACTTTAAATATTGTCTGAATACAAAGTTTAAGTATTTACCTTCATTAATAAAATGCCTGTAATAATATTCTCAAAATAATTAAAAGCTCTTAAAACATAAAAAAACAATGTTCAGTCTAAAAGTTTTATCTAATTAGTTTAATTTATTCACTTTATCATTTCTTCTTATGGTACAAAAGAAACGAGAAGTCTTTGATTAACAAGAATATTAAGACCTTCTAACATCACCATTAACATGATTTTTTGTGTCTCTTGAATTTTTATCGTAAATTGTCTCCTTATTTTGTTGATATTATTTGTTTATTGGAATAATTTTGTCAGATTTTCGAGGGGTCGGGTGAGGGAAGATGGGGTTAGTTTGGAGATTCCTGGTAAATTATTTTAGTAAGGTGTGATATTAATATAGCGAAGCAAATGAGACTCAAACCCACGTTCATTGATTCTGGGTTGAACTCTCACAATACTGAGCTATAAATGGTATATCCAATACATGATAAACCTCATAATGGACAATTTAAAATGTAAATAACTAAGCATGATAGTTGATCAACCCAATAATCATATTAATAACATAATTTGATATCTTAAATTAACCGCAGCTATAATTATATCCGTAAATTTATACGCAAATTTAATGATATCCTTCATTTAATATGTATGTGATGGCCGCAGGATATATATTTAAATGGCATATGCTGATCATCCTAACTAGTAATCAAAATATTTTCAGTCAATAAAAATAATATTTTGCACAATTTCAAGCAGCTTAAAACCTAGATTCATAAATTAATTAACAAATAACATCGAAATTGTGCAAAATTTATTAAGGAAAGGGTTGGAAAGGTTTGTGATGTAGTAGAAGTAAAGAGTGGGGGAATTGAAGAGATTCTCTATCGAGGATGGTTTTTTTCTACTCAATTCCTATGATTATCAAAGCCACTGGTAGGATCTTATGTTTTAAGTCAATAGTAGCTTTTTTACTGAATCGAGTCATTTTTAAGTTATTCAGTCAATACAGTTATTAAAAACTCATTGGCTTGGATGGTTAAGCAAGATTCCGTCAATTTTAAAGAAGACGTGAGTTCGAATCCTACCAATCAATACCTTAAAGTCAGTCAAATTTAAATGCTTAAAATTGAAAATCGATAAATGCAAAAGAATCTGACAAAATCTTCCCATTGGCTAATAAATTTCCACACAAGTAGAAACGCTAATTAAATTAGAATGTAAAATTGAATTAAAATGCTTGTTCAATGGAACGATAAAATGCGTTGTCTTTCCTCATGTTTCTGAAATATCGGAATCCTCGTCATCATCGTCATCGTCATGATAAACACCATGTAAAATTTGAGAATCAGGTTGGACGGTTGTCAATGGAGATCGTTCCTCCATTTCCACAATATTATATGAATATTTCTCCCGCTCAACACCAGTTGAATTTTTCGACGATACTCGACATAAAAGCTGTTTAGTCTTACCGTAAACAGTTGATAAAATGTCACAATCACATTTAATGTAGACGAGGTAAATGCAAATGGATATAATCATTAACAAAATTCCAATCATTGAACTAATGAGGACAATTTTCTCGATAGAATAATTTTTCAGTTGATTTGTGATGCTATTAAGGACTGATTTGTTTCCATCATTTACAATTTCCGGTGCCATCATCGTTGCCGTTGCCGACGAATTGATATTTTCGTCATCGTTCGCTTTTCGATGACATATAATCCGTGATCCAATAATGATTTGATTATAATCGGAGTCGCACGTCAGGCAGTCATTTTCAGTGGGACCATTACATTTTGAACAGACATCATGACATGATCCACATAGCTTCTGTGGAGTAATGGATGATTCTGATGATGAAATTGCTCTATTCGTCTTGCCAATGATATCGTCTAAGCTATCAAACTCATCAATATTCATCGCATGCCGTCTCTTCTTTACGGATAATCCTTTTGACTCAATATTCTCAGATACTTTCTCTGGCACGATAAATGAACGCTCGGGACATGTATTATAGCATCTTCCATCGAATATAAAGGTTTGATGTGCACATTCTGAAAGAAGTGATTCGAAAAAAAAAATATAAAAACATAAAAAATGCAAATAATTCAGCAAATGTGTTTGCTTGTTTGTATGTATATGTGCTTGTAAGTGGGTGTGAGTGTGTGATAAAAAAATAAACATATAAAAAAATATATATTTTTTGTGATAAACACCGAGGAGAAAAATCTCATTTTATCAATGCAGGGATTACTTTTAAATATATGTAAACTTTGTGCATACATTAAACTGAGATATTTGCCAATGTTGATGGCTCTGAATAATAGAAGCTAGTAGCTACTAGATTGGTTTAAATAAATTCTTTTTAAAAGCAGATTTAGCGCATTTTTTGAGCGTTGCGTGGGTAAGTTTGAATGATTTTTGAAGGTAGATAAATTATGATGAGGTTGTTGTCGGATAATTATCATATTCTATGCTGCAAAGCTTGTTTTTACCAAGAATTTTAATATTATTCACGAATTTAAAAAAAGCAATTTTCATAAGAGGTTTTTGGTGGATATCGTAGGCGTTTGACGTGATTTATATCCAAATCTTGGCATTCTGTTTCTAAAAAAGTTTTATAATTGCAAATTCTTGACATTTTGTTTCTATTTTTTTTTGTAATAAAAATATTTGTCTAATGCTTATTTTGAATTAAAACGCGCAGAACTGAGGATGCCTAATAGGACAAATTATGCTTATAAGGGTTTGTTCGTACATTATGTAAAGCTTTTAGTGGAATCTGAAATTTTCTGAAACTGTGAAGGGGTGATTTTAACTCCAGATCCCTTAGTTTCACCCAAGCATCGAAAAAAATGTGAATAAAATTTCTGAAAAATCAATTTGATTTTCCTGATTTCAAATCAAATTTATTTATTAATATTTGACCAATTTCATTTGAAATATGAAACCAAATACTAATTTTTTACTATGGCATCCCCAATTAATTTGATATTGTATGAAAATTGCTATTGAATTAAATCTTTGATTGAATTCTGAGGACTCGTCGCAGTTTATTTTAATAATTCGTAGAAAATAATTAAATTTGTGGCCGTAAAATTTCAAAAGAATATAGAATCCTATCAGAGCAAGAATGACGAACTTTAATAAACCTCAAAATTCTGACAACAATCTAAAATAAATTTTATCTCCTTAACTTGTGCTTCATATGCCTCAAAACTCTCATGATATTTTTGACATGTATTGATCTCATAAATTAGGGTCGTTCATAATTGACGTCAAAGTGGATCAGGAAGCTTTAAAAGAATATAATTTCTTGGAATTTTATTGTTTATTTTTTGAACAGTAATCGTTATTTTGTACGTAATTTATGAACGATCTTTAATCTTACTTCCCTTTGAGATTACCTTCCATGAAGAAGAGAAATGAAAAAGCTCTGAAAGCTTTTAATTAAACGAACACGATTAAATCAAAAATACTACAAAAATGCGCTTAATTCAGCCTTAAATTATTCATGCAATAAAAAATGTGAAAGCTCCAGTGAGCTTTTAATAAAAGCTTCTCTAATATCAGTGAATTACTTTAGGAAAAGCTCTTAAATAAATCATAAACTATATTCATTTCCAACTTTTTTACGACATAATCCAAATATTGTTCAATTGTAAATTAAATCATATTTTATATTTGCACTACAATCTACCTACTGTGAAATCATAAATTCTATAAAATTTTTATAGTTTTCCATAGAATAAATGTTTTTTATGCAGCATGTACATAAAGGAAGAACAAACCATACAATCAAGTATTGATCGCCATGGGGTTATAAATACTATTGATGTTATTGTTATTAAAAGTGTTTGAAATTTATGTGAAAATTTAATAAATATGATTTGAGGAAAGCTTTGTGATGCATAATATTGTTTGTTTTGGTGGGCGATTCTAGAGATGACATTTTAAGATGGAATTTTAAAAAGCTTGAAAATTCAAATTGAAAGAATTGAGATTTAAACTATTGTAGATGCTCAATTTTAAGCTTCTTTAAAAATCTTCAAATTTCAAAATTCAAAGATCCGTTAAAATTCAAAATTTTAAAACCAATTAAAATTCAAAATTTAAAGATCCGTTAAAATTCAAAATTTTAAAGCCCATAAAATTTAACATTTTAAAAGTCTGTTAAACTTTTAAAGCAACGTTTTCAAAAATCTATTAGTCTAGCGATGACTAAAACCTACTAATCTCATCTAAAGAATCACCCATGAAAATATTTTAATAAAAATAAGAGAAAAAAACCACCACCTACCATTTTTCCAATGATTTTTTATGAACTACATAAAATACGAACGATAAAAATGATCTCGAATGAAAATAAATAAACACAATTAAATTTAAAAAAATATATAAATAAATAAAAAAATTATTGTTTTGTGTTCAAACCCCAACTTATATATCTGGTGTTTATGGGGTTTGAAGTGAAAATTGTGTTTTAAGTGTGAATTCAAACAAAAAAAAGTTATTTAAATTTTTTCCCAAAAAATTTTTTCTGTTTATTTTTTCAATTCTTTTTTTGTTCATATAAATTTTCTATTTTAGCCATGTAATATCTATATTTTATTATTTATAGAGATTGATTTCGTTCGATTTTCTATTTTGTTTATTATTTCATAAATTTTACCATCGGTTTTTTTAAATTTTAATTTCTTTCACTTTTTTATTTTGATTACGTTGCCTATCTAAAAATATATTTTATTATTGTTATTATTATTATAAGTTTTAATTAATTTGATTATAATCCTAAATGTACAAATGATTTTTGTTTTATTATTATTATTATTATTTTTTGTTTATTATAATTTTTTTTTATTTAAAATTCTTAATTTTTATTTACAAATCAGCTGGGGGGCTCGTTGAAATTGATTGAGACTTTATTGAATTTATTTATTTTTTGTAGATTTAATGATGCTAGTAGCTTGACAATAGTGGATTCACTACTTAGGGGTACCCTATACGGGGTTCCTAATTCAAAAAGCTACTTGTTCTAGTTGTTGAACCTTCACCTAATTTCAAGCATCAATTCACATACCACAACTAACCCAAATTGTTTCACAAAATATAATTGAAGCTAATAAGTTTTTTTTTTTCCAATTTATTCACCGCTAAAAGCTGTCAAACTGCTGTCTATCATGACACCAAAATGTCAATAACCCAATTTTAATAAAATCTCAATCAATTTCCAATAACCTTTTCAATTTTCCGAGACAGAAACAAAATAAAAAAATCTATCGAAATAAAAACCTAAAACTAAGGGTTGAATTTTAAGTTCATCTACATTTTTGGCGCGTACATAAATCTTTTTTTATATTTTCTTTTTCAATGTTATTCACACTAAAAAAAATTGTTACATACTGAGCACTACATAAAACTTGTCTGTATGGATTTAAGAGCTTGAGGATGTATAACTTGAAGTTGGTAGATTTAATTGAACTTTATGACCGAATAGCATGATGTACATGACATTGTGACATAGTTTTATGTTTTCTACTGGGATGGTTGGTTTAGAGAATCAATAAATCTACTGTATATTTATAGAATGGAGCGAGGATTGATGATATTATCATATCAATCGACATAACATGCTTTAATAAGAATTTGTTCTCATTCTTAAAGATGCAGCATCAATATTAAGTGGGTTCAGGAGCTTAATTTATTTTTATCAAGAGCTTCTCATGCAATTCAATCATTCAACGACCCACATATAAAATTTGTCACTAAGCATGTGAGCAGAAAGTTTTGTTCATTGCCTTAGAAAAATGTGAACTTTGCGAAAATACAATTCTTGGAAGTTGGGTGTCCATAATACTTATGCTTAGTGTAATTTAGAAAATTACATTTCTGCAAAAGCAAATAAGTTGCAGAAGAATTCCAATTAATTAATGATGTTAAAGACTTGATGGTGGGTTTTGTTATTGATGACATTATTTGGTATTTGAATGAACTTTAAATTGAATAATTTTTCTAAGATTTTCGTTGCTATTGAATCATAACTTTTGAAAAGTTTTAAATTTTTTGATGAATTCAAAAATCTTTCAAAATCGTCAAAAAGTTTCAAAAATTAAAAAGCTTTCAAAATATTAAGAAAGCTTTCTAAAACATTTAAAAAGCTTTCAAAATAGTCAAAAAGCTTTTCAGAAATTTAAAAAGCTCTCAAAATATTCCAAAAACTTTCAAAATAGTCAAAAAGCTTTCAAAACATAAAAAAGAGCTTTCAATAAATAAAAACTTTTTCATTTCTTATTCAGTTCTTCACAAAGTTCAACTAATTCTAAGTTCATTCCTCCAAAAACTCTTATTTTACTGATTCTGAGTTATTTCTTTCATTAAAAATTAAACAACAAACTTATTTTTATTTATTTATATATTTTTTCATTCATTAATCGAGAAAAAAAGTTATTATTATTTTTCCGAAAAAAATGTGTGTGTGTGTGCTTGCAGTGCTGTTGATTGTTGTTTACACTATATTTTTTTTCTTTTTTCATTAAATTCATTTATTATTTGTCTTGATCAAACAAAAAAAAGGTATTTACTATTTTCATTCACAATTTACTGCTTGAAATTCTTATTATTTTTTGTGATATATAATAAATTAATGTTTGTCGAGCTTGTTTTGTCTTATTTTTCATTCATGTTTGCTTGTTAAAAATGAAGTAAATGAGAGAGAGAATGTGAAGCTTTAAATCTTCAAGCATGAGCTTTTATCTATCTAAGAAACTTTAAAGCTTTCATGGTAAAGTTCAGCTTGTTTGCTTCCGGACGCTAGAGAGCTTTTAGAGTTATAATTTATTAAGTTTCAAGTCTAATAAGCTTAATTATTGTACATAAGAAAATTCAACTACGGAGTATAATGTAAATAAATGGAGATGTACATCGTTGCTATATAGTAAGTCATTTAATTTAATGTTTATGAATGCTACTAAAAGCTCTCTAACTATTTTCTGTACAAAAATATATAATTTCAACTATTTAATGTATATTAGGAGGGATTTGAATGGTACTTGTG